GCTTCCACGTTAAAGCTTGTGCCTGGCTCGACCCTCCTGCTTTCCTCCTCGGGCACAGCAGCGAAGCAACAGCCCCTTCTTCTCAGTGCGGATGCTGCAAGGCACGGCCGCTCCAGCGACTCACATCGGGCCTCGCTTTATTTGTAGCTTGTTTTCTATCAAATCCTTTAACTCTCAGAGCATGGTCCCCAGGCTGGAGTGATGTGCTAATGAAGGCAGAGCTGATGAGCTACCGAATCGCTCTCGTTTTTGCTGAGCACATACAACAGCCCCGGTTTGCACATCAGCTGGGAGCCAGCGCAGCGTGGATTACAGAGCTTGTGTGTAGCTGCAGGGCAAAGAGTTTTCTTCTGCTTTGTATCGTGGCCTCTTCTAAAAGCCGTGGTGATTTGAGCCCTTTTCAGCTTGCCCGTATGTATGGAGACAGTCCATGCCCAGAAGAGTTTGCAGGGTTAAAAAGCAAAGCCAAGCGAAGGTTGGGAAGGAGAAGAAAATGTACTTCAGGGAAGGAAACACGGCTCTTAGTCTGATAACCTGGACTTTGCCAGCTGGCTAGACTACATTCTTATCCTCATTATTTTTTTCAGGTTTCATTTATTAGCTTTATCTACAGTTTACTGATACTACTTGATATATTTGTGGTTTGTGACCACTGCAGAGACTATAGATACTTGGTAATGTGCAAGGAAGACAGCTTAATTGCTACTTCAGCTTTAATTTGGGAGATCATGAAAGGTTGCTTTGGTGCTAAGCATTCAAGTACTGTGACAACTACAGGGCTGCAGAGGGAGTGATAGGTTGGACCTTTCTCATCTCTCCTCAAGGCTTCACAAGGTTGTGTTCCCTAACTTTTCTATCTCCAGAGGCAAGGCCTAAACTCACAACAATATTGACTCTTGGTCCCAATAGTCGAGTGCTCATGTTTAAGGTGATGGCTTTCCCTGTTGTGTGCATCCACCTAATTCCTCAGGAAACAGAGAACCTTGGCGGTTGGTCCTTGCTTTCCACATCTGAAGCTTTGCAGCTACTGGGGGCCAGTCAATACTGATGGGGCAGCCCAGCGAGAGGAGAAACGGGGACAATTTCAGTGCTGCAGCTGGGAACATTTGATGTTAAGACGTGCAGAAAATAATCAGTGTCGAGAAGTCCAAACTATTTGGTGGCTTGCTTTGGCTCTCGCTTTTCCCCCACTCGCTAGTGTTCTGCATCTCTAGTACAGCACATCAAGATTTGGCATACCATTTTTTTTCATGGTCATAAGGCCAGTTTTCACTGCAGGAGACCTGGTGATTCCTCCTCTTTCTCCCCCTGTCTTAACTTCACTGTCACTGATCTTCAAAAAGCTCCAGTTTTTAGCAGCATGCCTCTTTGGGGATCCCAACTGCAAGTGCTGAAGCCAGTTCCCAATGACAGGTTGGTGCAAGGAATCATCCCAGTGATCTCTGCTAACCTGGGCTGTAGTCCCTAGGCAATAAGAGTTTGCAAAGTTATTAACACTCTGGCAACGTTGTGTGGTTGCTTCTAAAAATAAAAGAGTGATAATAATTTGCTAATATTGGGTGTGTTACTAACAGAAACAGAGCCCACTGAACACTAGCAGGCATATTTGCTGTATCTAAAAATGTTCTTTTTTTTTTTTTCCTCCAGCAACCAATTTCATTTAAAGACTATTTTCACACATGAGTGCCTATTAATCAGTTAAGGAGTTATCAGTTCTAATATTAGGAGGAAAGAAGCAGGTGTCGTTAACAGCTTAAATTTCTATTTCATTTCTTTTCAGCTGTGTTGCAGCAGATTATGAGAAATCATAAGCTCATCTGACTTATCCTCCCCACCCCCTTGAAAAGAGAGGTGGTTTCATTAAATGAATGACTGTATCGTGATAGTCCTAAGTATGCTTTCAAGAGTTGTTGAATAAGAAATGCTGAGATAAAAATAAAGAAGGCTAAAATAAGATTTTATAAGAAATTAAACCCCAGATACCCATGTAATTTTAAGTAAAGTCATGTATTCTTTATAAGATTTTTAAGGTTGACTGACAGGAGAGGAATGGTAAGATAAGTGATCGAAAGCAAAGGTATATAGACAAAGGCAATGGCTGTGTGTGTGGCATTGATCTATTCTGAATCCAATCTACAAAAAAAAAAAGAGGGGGAATTATTGCATCCAAAGGCAGAAAATTAAGAGTGTACCAGCCAGTGCTGTCCTTCCTCCAAACAAATCCTTGACTCAGAGATGATGTCAGTGGGTTCCTCTCCCCCGAACTCACATATAGCTGTGTTGAACCCATGTGAACCTCTAGCTTGCAAAACACGCTGCAGCAGTGAGTTCCACATCTGAATTATTTGCTGGATGAGCAAGTGTTGTATTATTATTTTGAACCTGTCCTAGACAAACCTCAAGTTATGTCTAAAATACTGCTTGAATGCTTTTGCTGTAAGCTCCGTGAAGCAAGTGAAAGAGGTGGGAGTGAGGGTTGCATGCATTGCCTACCCATTCAGAGACCCAGGCACCTTCTGGCTCTGCAACAAGTACCATGACTGAACTGAAAAGGAAGCACACAGAATAGTTTCCATTAGGAGAGGTCTGTCAAGAGCTGACAGGTCGTGCAGCAGATTCTCTGTGCAAATGCCCTTCAGATCTTCTCAAAATACCTGATGGCAGCTGTTGGTCCAAAATCACCTTTGATCAATCCATCTTGGTGTGGCAGTTCTTAGAAGCATTTTAACTTTCTGTTTTTTTTTTTTTTTTTTCTTCCCTGCTCTATTCCACCTCCTATTTTAGCATTCTTTCTTTTTAACTAAAAAGTTTAAACTAGAAGGGAGCTGCCTGACCTATTGGAGCTTTCTTTCAGATTATACAGAATACTCAGTTTGCTTTCGTTTCACATTCCTCTCCAAAGCATTAGAGGTTAGAGGTATCTCATACATCTGTTGGCATTGTACTTATTTGTGAAAACAAAGTGTTCCCTTCAAGCAGAGCTATGTATCATACTATCATTAGCAAACTGCATCTTGTTGAAAATCTGTCAAACTGACTGATTTTGCATTTGCTGCTTTGCACCACATAAAACATAGTAAACTCCTGTGCCATAATGATTTTCTGTCTATCTTGATGGGACATAATGAGATAAATTCAAGTCCTTTTTTGAAGGCTAATTACATCAAGTACACACTAGACATTGGCTGCCCTTGTTACAATGATGTTGTGCATTTTCATGCCTTCGTTTCCTCTTCTTTACCGTCTGAGTTTGACGGTGAGTTTGATTCAGCTTTGAAATACAAATTGGAGGATAGAGAGCAACAGTTTGGTGGTCTCCTCTCCCAAAAGATTATCTAGATATTGTACAACAGTTCCCTGTGACAGAAAAGGCAGTATTTGAATGTAGCTGTGAAGGACGGAGTTGACTGTGTGCACTTTGTGGTCCCAGTGAACAACGCAAAGCTGGAGTGGGGACAGATTTAGAGGGTGGTCTTGAATTGCACCTCTCAGGAAGCATGAGTGATCTGCGTGGGCAGTGACTGACTTGCTGGCTGATTCTAAGATGAATTTTTTCCCTTGTGTTGGAAATGGCTGAAATCAGTTTAGTTCCAGTACCAAATAAAACGTTTTTTTGTTGTTGTTTTTTTTTGATGAGCTGGCAGGCACATCTTCAGTCTTTGCCTGAGTCAGCTTTAGAGTCTCTTCTTCTACTTGATACTTCAGAGGAAACAGAATTCATAGTAACAATCAACATTTTGTCTGTGGTGAAGATGAATTCTGCCATTGCATCCTGTGATCAGATATTAGCACATGACCTTCACACTGTGATTGTCTAGGACGTTCCTGACAGGATAATACCAATGCTTTTGCCATGAATTCATTTTCATTGCAAATTAATTATGACTTAGAAGTCTGAATGGAGGTAGAAAGGTGCTATGATTTCCAGATGACTTAGGTAAGTCTGACAACAGGCCTGAGAATCACTGATATGGCATGATTATTTTCAAAACACTTGGAAGGTAAAAAGTAACAGCACTTGGAAAGATGAGAGTTTGGTTATGTTCTCTGCTTTTTGAGAACAGCAGATCTGTGCTTTGTTTTTCCTTCTTTCAATAACTGCAGTTTTGTAATTCTACATCTAACTGTGGGATCACAGGGCCAGTTTGCTTTGTCTAAAGCTGGGGTCAACACGTGCACAGCTGCTGCTCATAGCCAAGTGTGCATACAAGCAGATAAGGGCAGAGTGCTTTGCTAAGGTGAAGAAGTGCTTGTTCCAGGAGACTGGGAACACAATATTACTATATGCGCTTTAAATTGTCAAAAGGGAAAAAAAATCTCAAACTACCCTTAGCTAATATATTTGTGACAGCACAATTAGCTGTCATGCAAAGTGTTTGTGTCTCATCATGCATACAAGTTGGCGCTGGAAGGATCATATTGTATGTCAGACATGCTTGATACAGTCTCTACCCAGAGCGATCTGTTTATGCAGAATGCTTCAAAATTCATCGCAGGTATTCAGGGAAAAACAAAAACAAAGAGCAAGCAAACACATAAAACCCTTTAGGGGAATAGCCTTATCACAGCATCGCAAAAGCTGTCCATCTCAAGATCCCTGCCACAGCTGTATTACTGTTTATTTGGTAAGACATTGGGTTTTGATAGTAGAATATCTTAAACAAAAAAACTCAAGGTGTATATTTCCTGCTTTTCTAAGACCGAATGAAAAGCTAAGAACGAGTACAATATTATTTGCTAAAGTAGAGGCGTAGGATCTGTTAGATCTAATGCACTCAACCAGGAAAACACATACCTAGCAAAGGCAGGTGCTAGAGGAAGAAATAATCATCATATTTTCTGTAAAATATTCAAACAAAATATCTTGAGAGTGTTTATCTGTTTTCTTTCCAGATAAAGATTTTAAAATATTTTTAAAAGGAAATGTGACAAGACAATTTTATGATGGGAGAGCTTAGCCTGTGGTTCTTCTTTTTACAGTATGCAGACCTGGGTTCTTCAAAGCTTCACCCCACAGTCCATCCTGCAGCAAATGTCCCCCTCACAGCTACACGCTTGATGAAGCATCCACATCTTGCCTGTGTGAAGAGCACTATTTTAGGAGAGAATCAGACCCACCTACAATGGCCTGTACAAGTAAGCATGTGCTTATAGGGTTGTTTTTAATCCTTTTGAGCTGTTCCTATACTGTGATTAGACATTATGATCATAATTACTGTGCTTTGACAGGCTCTGGGCTAGAGCCTGCACTCTTTGAACCTAGTCTGACCCACTTGTAATGTCACTGGCTTGTCCATCTTAGCCCACTTACATGAGAGAGGACTCAGGCCTTTTGCTTCTAAATAAGGCATTAACCTCAGGGAGCATTTATTTAATGCATAGTATAAAATATCACAACAGATGCTCCATCTGTTGCAGTCTGCTTTGCAAGCATACCAGAAATCTTCCTAACCAGCAGCATCACATTTAAGGAGCAGCCCTTAGTGCAAGTTGGTATGTGTGCAGGTGTAGGACACATGTTCAGAGGAGTGAGTGGGCAGCTGCTCCAGCTTTAGCTGTGGGTAGAACATGCATGGTCCTGCTTAGCATCATCTGTCAGCCAATTTTCGTTGGGCAAGCAGAGAGTGAATTCTAACTTTCTTGGCCACCTTGGAGATGGTTATTATTCAGGGAGATGGTCAATCTTCAGAGTAGTCATGTAGCTCTGCAGAGAAAGCTGCTTCTCTAAACCAGCAGCAAAAAATACAGAATTTATTCTGTGTGCTGTAAGGGGAGGGAGTTGTAAAAGGCAGATCGGACTACTGGGAGTAGTTCCGCAGGTGGTGGAAGCAATGACTAGTTTTCTCTTTCCATACAGTCTGTGAGCTACCTTCTACACTATAGCTTTGAAACTTCTTGTTCTCTTTTGTTTCAAATATTTAGGCCCCCATGTTGTGTAACTCCCACTTCATCTCACTAAGATCAGAATAGTAAGACCATGGGTCTTTACTGGACCAGGTACGTTATGGTCCAGGTGTGGTTTTGCACTGTAAAAGTGGTTAAATAAGTGAAGAGGAGCTGAACTACTGAGGCAGGAGCAGGAAGAGCTTCCAGGAAGCCTTACTGATGGAGAAGGGATGTGAGCTCATGTGCTCAGAGCCTCTGGGAAATGGTGAGGAGACAACTTACTTCCTGTCTCCTTGCATCGTAGAGCTGGAAGTTCAAGAGCTGAAGGACAGATTTTAGATTGCCTTAAACTCATGTCAGAGCCTGTTAGAGTGCAGTGCATCACAGGGATCATTTCCCAGCTGTCCTCCCAGCAGACACCAGACCAAGGCAGGATGAAAAAGCAGAATGGAAACAAGCAGAGCAAAGGGCTAGGTAGAGCAGGACATAAGAGCTCAGTTGAGGCAGCATAGTAGCTTTCTAGATTTTCGTCCCCGTGCCTACTACTGTCCTTTCCAGCCCTGTTGGTTTGCACAGAGAGAAGACAATAGTCCCTTCCTGATGGAGACTCACTCTCACAGAGGAAGCAGTCTGCCCTCAGCAAGTCTCTTCATGCCTCAAGGGGACACTAGGCACAGAAGGTGCTGCAGTAGTGGGATTCTTGCATCTTCGCATTTAATTTTCACCAGAGGAGAGAACTTGAAACACCTAGCTCTTGCAGATGTGCTGTAGGAAAGCAGAAGAGAGCCTTGGGCAGCACGAGAGTAGCTCGTGCTATGTGATCTGGATGTGAGCCATGCAAGCACTTCTCAGGCTGCTAAGCAGATATGCCACTGCCCTTTAGAGCAGGAGCTAAGATGGGCTAAAGCATAAAAAATCTCTTGCACCAGGGCTTCTTAATGTCTGTTTTGTGCATTTTAAGCATAACTTAAAAGTCACAGGGAAAGGAGAGATGGGTCCAATCATTTTGGTAGTAGGGAGGAGAACTCTGAACACTCAAAGTACATAGAAAATTAGCCTGTTTTTGTTCAGGTAGCCCCAAAGGCAGGGACTGATACAGAGTTGTGCTAGACTACCCATGTCCGCAGTGCCCACTATCCATATGGCAGCAGCGATACTGCTGTCCATTCTCCCTCGAGGGGGAGAAGAAATACATCTAGCCTGTCTAAATTAGCCTGGATAAGAAGCCCACCAGCTCCAGGAGAAGAGATCTGTGTAAACTTACAACCTGAAGGCAGGCCGGGGTTGTATGAGGGGCACAAGCAAGATTGTTTTCAAATAAGTTGCAGGATGAGTCCCTGTCTGCTTCAAGCCTCTGGTACAATCCCAACCCTATAGGTAACTGCTATAGCTTCAAGCCTCTGGTACAATCCCAACCCTATAGGTAATGGCTATAGCTTCTAGTTCCACAAATATTGTGGGTTTTTCTTTCTATGTTCGCTTGTTCGTATTACTTTTTTTTTTAACTTTTGGGGGGGCTTTTTAATGTTTCTTCTTTTGTTTTGTTTTGAAAGTTTATTTTAATCTAATTCCAAATCAAGGCATAATGTGCTGAACTATGTTAGACTCTTGCTTGGCAGAATCCAGAGCGCACGCAGAGCAGGTGGAAGCGCCAAGGCAGGCACCGCTCGGCTTCTGCTGCCTTAGGAGCAGGCTTTTATGCAAGGAGCATCTGCACTATCGCATCTCACTTACTCATCCCTTGGTGGGATCTTGTGCTAATTCAGCTTGTGCTGAAAAAGAGGAAATGCTTATGTGCTAGCCCATGGCAAGGAGGGTAAATTTTGGCAGGGATAGTAAAAGAGCAGCTAGAGGTCCCAACATCTTCACCCAATCCTATTAGTGTGCAAGGCACCATCTCTTTTCGTGGCTGCTGGGAAAATATTTAAAGTTTTTGAATCGGTCCCTTGTTTATTACTCTGGAAGTTAATAATATTCATAGGGTTCCTTTAAGTTGAAATCCAGGTAATTGCAGGGAATACACTGTTCATTTTCAGCTCCACGCCTGCAAAGTCCCCTGCCAATTGGGACAGCTGTAAAACTACATTTTCGTAATATAAAGAGAATGCTTTTCAGTCTGATGTCTTCTCAGTCTTCAGACTTAAGGTGCCTTATAACTCTTCCCCCCACAATCATCACCAAAGAAAGTGAGCCACTAAAGTGCTGTCAATTGCTCAGTTAAGCACAATAAGGGGGGAGGACAAAGGGAGGGAGGGGAGAGAAGTAAAATATGTGTTTTTTTTTTCCCCCAGTTTCTTAAAAATATTTAATAAGCAATTATTTGATAATTTTAAAATTGATAGTGCTGGAATGCAGCCTGAGATAATTATTACCTTCAGACAACAGATCCCTAAGTCCGTACGGACATTTGAGAATTCTCCAAATGTTTTTACGCATCTTTCAGGAAGTAATTGTGCTTTGTATCTTTTTAAGTAAATAAACCTAGCTTCAGTTCCTTGCAGAACATCAATTTAAAATAAAATGATATAAAGTTTCACCCTTTCTTCCCTCCCACCTCTCACAAGTAATTCTGTTGCAATTCAGAGCATACTGGGGAAGTATTTCAAAATGGTACAAGGCGTGGGACACACTGCAGTTTTTATAGAGTGGTTTTTCATGTAATAATCTGTTCTCAGAAAGTTGCAGTTAAATTTATTCTGTGTAAATATATGTATCTCAGGGGAAATTTACCTACCAGGTTATATGTAAACTATGCTCATCTGCAGAAAACAGATTTTCTGTCCATCAAGGAAAGTACCAATGTTTTTGCTTTGAGCCTCTGATCAATAAATCATGGTGCGGAAAGGGTGAATCTTAACAGAACTTTGTAGTGAACAGAGGAGCAAATTTGAAAAAAAAAAGAAAAAGAAAAAGAAAAAGAAAAAGAAAAAGAAAAAGAAAAAGAAAAAGAAAAAGAAAAAGAAAAAGAAAAAGAAAAAGAAAAAGAAAAAAAAATGTGTAAATGAGTGTCTTAGTCCTTGAGGAAGAGGAGTTGGAAGACAGACCTTCTTAGCATATCTAGGACCCCTCACCCTCAGAAACTAAAACAGTTTTTTCTTCTCCCAACTGGCATTTTTTCAAAGTTTCACCCAAGTGCAATTGGAGGAGTCTTCAAATAGGTCTTCTTAGATATATGCAGAATACTAAAGACAATTCTTAGAGCTCCTCTGAGAATCTTAATATTACAGGTCACAGAGTGCCACTAACTTCAAAGCATTTCCATTGAAGTTGATGTTTTTAAGCCTTCAAGAAAGCAGCTGACTCTTCTGTACAAAGCAAGTAGAAACCTCTGGTGACTTCAGTGAATAATTTATCCCCTATTTAAGACATATTGTCCAATAGAGGCTTTTGTATCTAACTTCATCATTATTTTTCTTAGTACTGTTAGTGGTAAAAGTTCATTCATCCAGTGAAAATAAAAATAGGGCAATTTAACTGGTGTTAAGGAAAAATAAATCTGTGTGTAATGTATGTAACTCCACACAGCTCCAGTGATGAATTTTCTAGTTTCCATTATATAAGCATGAGCACAGGAGGGCAGAAGATAATTCTGGCTTCTGCTGTGCTATGGTGTCATTAGCTAAATAGCGCTGGGTCCCTGTGGTGCAGTTTGGGAGCATCGACTTGCAGAAATTCCCAGCCTTGTGACAGAGCCCTTTCGTGCAGGCCTGTGAGTAAGCTCCCTCTTCTGCCCTGTGTCTGGTGAAGTTTCTTTCCATCTGAAGCGATCTGAGGTCCTTGACCAGATGCTAATTGTAGTCCTCATGCAGAAGATGTTCTATATGCTAGTGGGGATTGCTGGCATGGTGGCAGACAAGCAGCTAGTCCTCAAAGCTGCAGAGACCTGAGCAGGTCCTTTTATTTTAGGCTTGCCAATAAATGGGCCCTTAGCTTTCTGCATGTCTTGCTGAAGCTGATGGTTGTGTGCAGGCATCTTGCAGACAGAGCTCTTGCTCTACCTTGCTCTAAAGGAGAAAAGATAGGAAAGGGAAATAGGGAAAGATGTTTCTTGTTTATATGGTAATTTCAGCTTTGCAACATTGCCTCTTTTAAATGTGATTTATGTTTGATTATAACAATAAAATAAAATCAGATAATCTAAGGCGTGCTATTAAACATGTATGGATATCTGCCTGGTGAAGATATTTCTAGAGATCTTTATAAGGAGCTCTACATGAGTTTTGACAGTTGGTTCAAACTGAATGTGAGCATGTTGCCATCACACCGTTATGTAGTCTCAGAAAATTCCACGCTGTAGGATTTTGCTGTGTGGCTTTTGTGATGCTGTGGCTAAAATCCAGCTGAGCTTTCTTTAGTCGTTTCCCTTTCTTCCTAATTCAGTACTATCCATATAAAGTGTGCATATCTCTTGCATGAAATTCCTGCTATCTTTCTGCATTATCTGCAGGGTATATCTGTGACCTGATCACCAAGGCAAATCTATTAAAACAAAAGTTCCTCCAAATACCACCTAGGAAGTATTTTCCATTTGCTCCAGGACTGATAAACTTTTTTTTTTGTAGTGCAAAGACATCAGTGGAATGTGATCTTTTTAATTTGGCTGTGGTTTGCATGTTCAGAGGCTTGCCTGCAATGTTCTGCTGATTTCACTGGGAGGCCATCACAGAGTGATGCCAGAATTTGCAGATATATCTAGTGTCATGGCATGCTTCAGTTTTCTGGTGTCTCTATAACATGAGTCATCTGAAAAGGTATGTGCCAGCACCTTCTGCAAATTAGCTGTCTTGCAGGTGTCTCCAAATGGACAGTGCAGCTGCCTAATGAACTAGGAGTCACTGTTGGAAATTTTGTGCCCAATATGGCTTTTCTTGCCCAGCCTGTGGCCTCTCCCAACAGCACATCGGAAAACAGACCAGGAGCTCTGCTGCCTTTGCAGTTCTTTGCCTGTGGGTAGCCTTGCCAGAGCCATGCTCATATCCCGAGCCTGGACACTTGGCCAAATAAGCAGCCATGGTGTAGCTAACCAATCGTGCTAGCTTTGCAGGGACCAGGAAGGCTGCAATTGAGAACATAGACATGTCCGTATTTCCAGAGGCTCGTATAGATCACCATCTGCTTTAGGCTACATTAAGTGTCTTGTTCAGGTGTGCTTTGTACAACTGCACTTAAGTTTCTCTGTCTGTAAAGATCTGATAGGGAGTGCATAAAATGGAAAAATTCAGTGTCTGAACTGGGTACCCAAGGCATGTCTTCTTAGGATCGAGGGCTAGTAATACAACAGTAGGGCCAGGAGGGGTAATCCTGCTGCCGGTGACTGGCACTGACTTGGGCAGTTCCCTTAGGTAGAGGAATGAGGAGAGCATCAGAGGCAGTGCCTGGGGTGGAACATGCTTCTGTGGGTGTTCCTGAGCCAGCCTTATTGTGTGTATCTTGCCCTCCCACACAAACGCCTGTGTCCCAACCTTTAGGGTGATGCTGGAGGTCTCAAAAGAAATCTCCATCTACCCCTTGCTTCTCTTGCTGCTGTGGATTATCTCTGTGTGCTTTTCAGCACATGAACCATGAACATCTCTTCAGCCTAGAGAGCATTAGAGAGCAGGATGAATGATAAAACTGTTTTTACCATGTGTTTTTCTCACTTTACAAACCAGGACCCCCCTCTGCTCCTCGGAGTGCCATCTCAAATGTAAACGAGACTAGTGTCTTTCTGGAATGGATTCCCCCTGCTGATACTGGTGGAAGGAAAGATGTGTCTTATTATATTGCATGCAAGAAGTGCAACTCACACTCAGGGCAGTGTGAGGCATGTGGCAGTCATGTCAGGTACCTCCCCCAGCAAACTGACTTGAAAAACACCTCTGTCATGATGGTGGATCTACTTGCACATACAAACTATACCTTTGAAATTGAGGCAGTGAATGGAGTGTCCGACCAGAGCCCTGGAGCACGCCAGTATGTGTCTGTAAATGTAACCACAAATCAGGCAGGTAAGTGCAAGCTTAATCTGGGGAAATGGCTGGGGTGGGAGCCCTACCCGTTTGAATCTGATGCAGACCTCCCGTTGAAATGGGGGGAAGTCCAAGCCTGGAGGGTTGGCCCATCGCCTCTTAAAATATGTGTGTGGGAGGGAATTCATGTCCAGCAGGACAGAATTACTGCAGTCTTCAACAGTGGGAATATTTCCTTCCAGCAGGACATACTTTTAGGATTTGTGGCTTTTCATTTTTCTTTTATGCTAAGCACTGCACAGAGACAACTTTACATCTTTACCTTTACTGAGTGTATCCACTCAGTAAAATAAGGAATGTAATTGCCTCTTGTATTGGGAAAGAGATGTCCCTAAAAGATATTTATGATTCCAAATGCTGATGGTTAAAATGTCTTAATGTTGGGAGAGGCTGCCCCAAGAAAATTATTTTGCGTGATTATAGGAAACTCGGTCCATGTTTTGCACTGTGTGATGCCTAAGTGCCTGCCTAAGCTGAGTGAGGTACACCATTGCGTACTGTGTCCTTCTTTGTTTTACCCTGTGTAATGAAGACCACAGAGTCTGCCTTTTTCCCTCACCCAGGCCTCAGGCCTTTGGAAACCCAGAGGGAAAAAGGAGACCATCGCCTTGGCGGCAGGTGGCTGGGGCACAGCAAAGCTGTGTGGCTTGAACGCAGGAAGGCAAGGAGCTGGCCTTTAGTCTTGACTTGCTTTGGTCACTTGGAGCTGCATCAGGAGGAGAAACACGATTACATCTTCTTCCAAACATATGAATGCACCAGGCACGTTAAACAGCTTCTATAACCCCTGGAGACCTTCCTGTAAGTTTCTCTTGTCCCTTATCGGCTCTATTTTTCAGGGATCTCTTGCCTATTTGGTTGGTTTCTTGCCATTTGATTCAGGGCTGGTTCAATGCTGCTGTTCTCTTGTTCTCCACAGAGTCCTTTCAGAAGTATGAAACAGCAGCATTTGAGACTGTGAAGTCCACACACACCACTGATACCAGATCACCAGAGCCATCCTCACTATCCTTCACCATCACCTGAGCCACCATCACCATTTGCCTTCCCCTTACAGCAAATGCTTAGCTGGGAAATCTGGTGCAACACACATGGCAACGGCTAGATGGAGATTGGCAGGTCCTTGTGGTGACTTGGAAAAATGTTAGCTGGATCATTCCTACAGCCCAAGGATCTGTGCATGGAGTTGGCAGCCAGTGTAGCTGGAGGGTAGTTGTGTTGCAGTTCATAAGGTACCTGTCCATCCTGGTAATGAGTCCGCATTCTTGGAAGTGCTGTATGAATTGTTGGGATGAGAAAAGGAAGCAAAGGCACCCTTGATCATTACTGGATGTGACGGATATGGAAGGAGATCTACCAGGGGAGCAGTTGGGGATGGCAGTGAGAAACCTACTGAAGGGTCAGTGTGGATGCATGAGGTTCACAGTCCTAACAATGTTTGCTGAGGTCCTATTGAGAAGGCTCCTGCCAGTAAGTCTCTTATTGGAGAAAATATGGTTTCCTCTTCCTGGGTTTGCATTAGTATTTCATCGTTGACATTGGATTTTCCCTGATGTGCAGAGTTAAATTCACGTAAACCTCACTAAACATAGTTGTGCAAGAGAAGATGATATATTGCTGATCACTGCAGTCTGTGGGTACATGTCTGTGGGTTTCGTATGCTGCCCATGGCTCTCATTCATGATAGTACATCTATGTGCCCTAGTGGAAGGGCATCACAGCTAGCAGACCTTAAAGTTCAGGTAGTGCTGCAAAGCCAACCACAGCAAGAGGAAAAATACTGAGCAAGAACTGATGTCCGTAGGAAATGGAAAACCTGAATGCTATGGGCAAGGCCTGGATGTTGCCAAACTGCTGGCAGGCATTCACTAGCGCAGCAGTGCAGAAGAGTGACAGAGTTTATTTTGTTGTCAGTCCCAAAAAGACTGCTTCTTTCAGGCTAGCAAAGAATGCACGAGCTACAGAATGCTGGCCTCGCCATGCAGGTTCTGTACATGGGAGCTCTTGGCAGCAGCAACATGGTATGGTTTGGGATCCTGAAGGGATTGCTTCCTGAAAAGTAATGTTTTTCTTTCCAAAATAATTTGTTCATCTTCCTTTCCCTCTGGTTTTGACTAAAGATAAAAAGAACTGGCACCAGCAATCAGTCTGATATTTTCAGATGGTTATAGTCTTCTCTGAGGTCTAGTTTTGAAATGAAGTTTGGAAATACTGCAGGAAAACCAAGCAATGTTTGTGTGCAAGACGCTGCACATCAGCTGGTGCCTCCAGCACTCTCCTACTGCAGCACCCAACCCAACCTCCCTGCCCAGCCTTCAGTTGCATAAACTCTTTCTTCCAGTGGGTCCCTCATGGTAGCTGTTCTTGTCCTCACTGCAAATCCAGAGAAAGGTGGCTCAAGAGTTTTGAAAATCAAGAGATTTTCAAATCTCTTGAGATTGAAAGAAGGCCTTTATCTCTTTGTTTGGAATATTGCTAGCCAGCAGAAAGGCTGCCTGTGAAGAAGAGGTGTAGCACAGGACCTGCCAGAGTCTCCTGCCTCGCTGTTTAAAGTCTCATCTTTCACTGTCAAGAAGGGATATCTCTTAGGGAACCATTTTGGTTTCAGGGCACCCCAGCATCTCTGAGATGCCTCCTAAGGCACCTTTCAGGGCCATTTCCTATAACCACACTGTGCATACCACTAGTGCTGAAGCTTTTCCTTTGAGCGATAAGCGCATGACATTTTTTCTTGGTGATTTCACCAAGCAGGTTGGTTAAGTAATGCTATTGCTCTGGACAAAGATGTGCATCTCCCTTGAGGTGTTTTGTCTTAACTGTCCTGCATAGCTAACCTGCAGACTTGGTCAGAGATGTGTGCCTTGTAACAGGCCCTCAAAGAGCAAGTGGATTGTGGTTCATGGTTGCCTACACCCATGTTGTATCATGGCAGGAGCATGCAAGAGTATGCTCAGAAGAAATACAACTTTGAAGGTTTGAAACCCATGGGAGTATTTGCTTTAAGCCAGTCTTTATCAAGGACTCTATGATAGTTTTGAGCTTCTGGGGGAGATATGGACGTGTTTATTAACCGTGGAGTAGTTGACATGTCCAATGCAGATCACCCAAACTTGGTCAGACCCTAATACTGGCTGTTTAAAGTGTATGAATGGGGCCATCCCTAGCCACAGGGAATCTGTGGTCTGAGGCTAAAACAGAGAAATACCAGTTGCTGAAACAGAGAAATGCCAGGTGCAGCAATGACACTTCCTATTCTGCCACCAGAGTGGTGAAAATGGTTTACCTGTAATGTCAGCTATAGCAGCACTTGATCTGTTGAGCAGTGTCATCTTCCTAGCAGTGATCAGTAGCAGATACCTTACATGAGGCAGACACAGGGATACTTTCTTAGTGTGCTCTCCAATCTCCAGGGAGACCCTCTTTGTGCTTAGTAGCCCTTAATGGATTTTTCTTCTATGATTGTCTAATCATTTTATGAACTAGAAAATTTTAGCAACTGTAGGCAATTCTACATTAATTCAGTGTGTTTGAAAGTTTAAGCTATGCTTTATTCATGTTGGTCAGAAGTGGAAGATTGAAGCTTTGCAATGGCAAATTTATTTGGAAACATTGCCATTTAGAGATGCCACGCAAGCTTCCAGTTAATGAACAGAGGTATCAGGAGCTCAGCATTTAACCCCAAAGTAATGTACCCTTAAGAACAAAGTGTATCTTGCACATCAGGATGAGCTGATACCCTGGTCAGGGTTATCCCAAGAAACACAAGTGAATTTGTACTGTCTCAGAGACCGTCACCTCCATACAAACCTGGGTAAACCTCCGGTGACACTCTGCACCATGGCACACAGCCATGCGTTGAACAAGGCTCTTTCCGCCAGCTGCGAACCTGCTGGCTGCTTTCGGTGTCCAGACTTGACAGTGACACATCACAGGGATGTACGGCTGATAGCTTGCATTAACCAAATGCAGGTTTGCTGCCACACAAACGCAGCTCCCTTCATCATTAGCCAGCCAATTTCTCTACAGTGGCAGGGGTCCTCCAGCCAGGCCACCATCTTCCAAGGGCTCTTGTTCAGGTTTCATCTCTTGAAGAGAGCGAATCTATCAATCTGCCTGTCTGTCTACCTTCCTACCTATCTATATCTTTCCTTCCTTCCTTCCTTCCTTCCTTCCTTCCTTCCTTCCTTCCTTCCTTCCTTCCTTCCTTCCTTCCTTCCTTCCTTCCTTCCTTCCTTCCTTCNTTCCTTCCTTCCTTCCTTCCTTCCTTCCTTCCTTCCTTCCTTCCAGTGCATGGAGGTATTTCACATGGTGTTCAATGTCAATCCCTTGCCAATGGGAGTTTTCCCACCAGTTGCTGAATAGATGACATCAAAGGCCAGGATTTTAGGAGAAACCCACCTTTAGCTTTCACGTCATCAGGAATTTTCTCTCTGACTAAATCCAGAGGCTGCTGGAGAGCTTCGATAATGTGCTGTGTCTCAAGTTGCCAACATTTAGACAGGAAGAGAGAATAATTTAATTTGTGAAATCTCATGCATATGCTGGTAATTGACTTTCGGAAGTAGTTCAACATGGATAGGAACCAAGATAGATTCAGAAGATGCATATGGATAGTGTCAGCAGCAGCAATGAATGAAGGCGAAGAAAAGGAAGTCAGTGACTGCCCCGTCACTGCACCAGACAGTGCAGCCATGGCTTTCTCTTTATTTTTGAAG